GATAAATTTGGGGAGGGGGCCCTGTCAGAGAGGGGAGAGGTGTGAATGCCTCATTGTTGGGAGGGGGGGAGAAGCTGATGGGTCCTTTTGGAGATGGGCAGTGGGGGAGGCCTGAAACTCTCTTGGACCAGAGAGAATAGGAGTCCAGGAAACCAACCCTACAGGAGAGCCATCAAGGCTTTGGCCAAGAACCATTGATAAGCTGACAACTCACTTAGCAAGATAATAAACACTAAAGTTGCTTTGATACATTGTCCTGCTTCCAGAGCCAGTTCTCACTTCTGGGGTTAAGGGGTGGGGGAAGAAGGAGGGTCGGAGAACCTGAGGGAGAGACCTTGACTGCTGGGGTTTTATCTCTCAGCCATCAGCTGAATTTTTATCACTTTATAGGCCTTGATGAGTAGTAAATGCCAGTATCAATGCCAGTATTAGAATGTTTGGTGGGCCAGGATCTCTCGATTGATTATGAGGAAAGAAAATTTCCAGGGAAATGGGGGCTGCAGCTTTTAAAATAAGAATGAAGACTAATGATCCTTTATTCATTCATTATGTTTATTTCCCCACGTTTCAAAAAAAACAACAACAACCCAACAACAACAAACACAGGGCTGAAGGTGCTTCACGAGAACATGGTGAAATTAAAAACAGGTTATACACTAAATTGCATTAATATCAAAATCAATCAAGCACTTAAAATCATCTCTTTATTCAGGAACATGTGGACCTTTAGCATATCTATAAAATAAAGATTCCCACAGATCACCCACAAACTATTTACTGTACTGTATTTATTTCTCTGTGTATTCCATGACTGTGATTGTTAGATTGTTTTGCATAACTGCTTTGACTGGGCTTTTTAGTACTACTCTACATTTCTCAGAGTAGTATTTGTCCTTTTTTAATATTTGTATACTTACTATTTTAGATAGATATTTTAATTTTGCTATTGTCTTGTAATGTTGTAAGCTGACTCTTTATACTCATTGTTCTTAGCTTTATATATTGCTTTTTAATGATGTAAAAAACCACTGTTGTATACTCATTTTTTTCAGGTTTAAATATTGTCTTTCAATGATGTAAGTCCTCCCTGGGTCCTTTTTAAGGTGAAAGGCGGGGTAAAAATAGTTTAAATAAATAAATAAATAAATAAATAAATAAATATAAATAAATAAATAGATGATGTGTATTATTCTTAGATCTGATTTCCCTCTTTATTAACAGATCATGGGGCTAGTACTACATATTTTACTAAATAAATTGGATTATTTCTGAACATGCGTTGGCAGCAACTAGAAAAGTTATAACAGTCATCATCACAACACCAGAGTGCATTCCAATGAAATCAATAAACTGTATGCAGCAAATACCCTGAAATGGCATATCTGTTTTGGCACTTTTAATCCTAAAGGCCATCTGGATGTTGTTGGACTGTAATTCCCATCAACTTTGGCCTGCTAGCTAGTGATGCTAGATCATGGAGGTTGCAGTCCAAAACCATCCAGAAGTTGACTAGAGCTGGGCAGATTTTTGTTTTCTGACTACAGTTCTCAGAATTCCCCAGGGATTATGCCCAGGCTATGCTGCCTACAGAATTCTAGGAGCTGCAGTCCAAAATCGTGGCTCTGCACTGCTGTATTGACACTTTCCTGCTACCAAGCTGCTTAGCTTTTCAGATTTTTCTATGCCTTCTTCAGCTTCAAGACCTAGACATGAACTGGACAACAACTCACTATCTTGCACATTCTGCAAGGAGAGACCTAGGTTGGAGAAGGCTGTTTCATGCCAAATTGAGACATAATCATGTATTTCATAATGAGGCAGCAGGAAGAAACGAAAAAGAGAATTGTGGCTTTTGTTGAAGAAGAATGTCCAGGAGGGAAACTGTCCATCTCGTCTGGAAAGCCCTCAGTGTCTTGTGGCTCACAAGGTCAGGCCAATGGCATGCCTGAGGGCAGACACAGGCTATTACAGTTGTTTGCAAACTGCTGCTAGAACCTTTTTTTAATTGGAGACTAAAAGTGCAGTAAAACCTATTTACATAACTAACTAAATAAACACATGAATAAATGCATGCATAAATAACCTGTGAATAAACATGCATCTGATGGAGCTGTTTAGAATCCACAACAGCTCATGCTTAAACAAATGTGTGAGCTTGAAAGGTGCCACTGGAACACCTTTGCCTTTTGTTACACTTGACTAAACTATGCATCCAGAAACTTCAGATAAGATGTACATAAAAGGTAACCTATTGTGTAGTTTAAAATAGATCTATCAGAACAACCAGAACCAATGTATTGGTTCATAGAGGCTGATTTCTTGATCAGTGAGATGGGGCTAAAATGTCTTCCACGCAGTCCATCAAGCTCTCAGTGGGCCAGTCACTCTCATGAAGCCTTAGCTTCTTCACAAGGTTGTTGTGATGATAAAACCAGAGCGATTTCCTTCAACCTGAGACCCCTTGTAAGATCTCATCAGCTCAAGACATGAAAGAAAGAAACACTGAGGGTTACATCCAAACCCACCAATCTAGAGAAGGCTAGAACATGGGCCATCTCCATGTATGTGGCATTGAGGTTGCTGGAAACCGGGTGGGACACAAAATTTAGAAAATAACAATGCAGCTGACTGGCTCGCACGGGTGACACGGGTAGATCATGTGGCATTGAGGTTGCTGGAAACAGGGTGGGACACAAAATTTAGAAAATAATAATGCAGCTCAACAAGGCATAATAGGATGAATGTAATACAATACTAGTTCCACATAGGTATACTTACCAAAATGAATGGGGCTTTTACTATTACTTACAACTCTCACTTCAATGGGACAACTCTGGTTTGGAGCAAAATGGAAATTAGTCCACTGTACCCAGCATTTTATTCTTAATGTTTATTTACTAAATTCTTTTTCATGCTGCAAAACATCCTCAGCCAGTCATACATTTTGAGTTTAATCTGCCTCACATGATTGTTGTGAGGATTCAAACTGCTGCCCCATTATATACTTTTCTGAGTTCTTTGTAGAAGTAGTAAAATATAAAATGTGAGGTACCAGCATTCAGACTAGTTTACAGATCACATCCATGCCCGGTAACAGTTTTCTTAATCTTAGATAATTTGGGGCAATGTGTATTACTCAATAGTAAAGGTAAAATATTCTGTATATGTTCGGATGCGCCCTGCTTTTTATCTGAGGCTAATTTCACTTCTATGAATAATATTTAAGGCTCCAACAGTCCTCCCGGCTGGGTATTCCTTGGTGTCGAGACAGTGGGATGATATGCCCATTTTCTGGGAGTAAGGGCTTCAACTCTTGAGCAAACATTAGTTTGGATGGCTTCTCAATGGCAGTTCAAATGTTTCCACACAGGAATCTATTCATTTCATGAACTCTGTTCATTAATCTTTCACCTCAGATATTGAACTTATTAAAATGATTACAGCATTTTGTTTCATAATTTTTATTTGTAAACAGAACTGTATTTGTTTGGGCATGGTAATATTGAGTTATTTGGGGCCTCCTTTGGGAATGAAAAACAGCATACAAACATTGAATGGTTGGACAAAGGAGGAAAATGACATAAAATGGAGGACACAATTCCTGTACCTTTAACAACTGCTTGAAAGGAAAGAGGTCCTGTCTTCCATTTCATGTGCCCTAATTAACTGTGATCACAGGCAATTAAAACAAATTGCAAAGGGGTAAGTCTGCCATTCTTTACATACTTACAGCTCCCCATGCTGAATGGGCCTTACTTTTGAGTAGTCAGTACAGGCTTGTGTTGAAAAGCTGTAGTCATAGGCATTTGGAAAAAGATAAGTGTTGCCATGATGGGACAACATTGATCTGCATGGAGGAAAGACTGAATAGAAATATAACAAATACATATTTTATATAGAGATCTTTTGATTTAAAATGGGATCTAAATATTTAATAAAAAATAAATATTTAAAGGATCTCAGTATAGTATTTTCTTTTGAAGACTAAGTACCTACTCCTTTCCAAATCAAACAAACAAAAAAACTCAGGTATCTGGGCATTTGTTCACCTCTGTAGGTGCCATACTATCCTCTCACACAAAATTGTTGCCTTCATTTATGTTTCCCTCCAACATGGGTATCTGGGCCTGCAACAACCGAATGACAGGCCGACACCCAACAGATGCAGCTTGTTTCCACAGAACAAGGGTGTAGCCTGGTGGGAAGATTTGTTTTGGTTACACAGCTGTTGATAGAGCTGGGGGGGAGGGGGAGAGGAAGAAAAAAAAATAAAGGTGTCAAATTTTGGTTCCAGAAAACCCCAAAAATGATGACATTAGTGAGACAAGCAGATGAGAGGCACTTGATCCTTAATAATCCAATGTCACATCTCCCATCTTAGGCGGGAAACCGACATTTCAGTCCTTTCTGAACCCCCCCAGGAGCCACCCCTTTCCTCTTCCAAGAACCCCAAAATGTGTGGTTAGGAAAGATCTTCCCCCCTTCCTCCATCCTTGGGGGATCTAGGCCCCTCTTTGGAGTTTTCTGATCTCCTCCCCCATTTCCCCTTGGCTTTGAAGCCCCCCTTTATCCCTGGCNCCCCCCCCCCCCCCCATGCAGCCATCACACATCGCATCTCCAGCCTTCTTTCCCTTCCCTCGGGGTAGGTCTGCCAGGGGATCGTATGGGGCTGACAAAAGGCGGCTGTGGGCCGGAGCCTTGGGTCCTGCTGAGCTTGATGGGGGCAATGGCTTTGGTGGGTGGGGGGGGGGGGGGGGCTCTGAGCCTTCATCAGA